CAAGGGGTGTGCCATATACCCCTACATTGTACCCATTAAGTGGGATCACACCAATCTCCCCTCCCTTTTCCCCTCTCTCCTTCCCCTTCCCCTCAACTTGAATTAAATGGAGTTTTTCTCTTGGTCGGAGTGTATTACATCGTCTACTGGCTTCATATTAGCATTGAGTGCATTGGCTATTTGATTTTCCGTTCTTGTGATACTTTACTAAGAAGAATGTGTCTCAATAAGGCTTCAAATGTTTCTTATTGAAGTTTTACAACAGCCTAGGTAAATACGATTATCCTCATTATTAAAGTAAAGAAAGTGAGCCTTAGGGACTTTAAAATTAATCTGCCACACAAAGTAAGTGATGAATGACAGGGGAATGAAAATCAACTTTCATTTACTGCAGGTTTTATGCTCTTAACCTCTACCTTCTCTCTCTCTCTCTGTGTATTTCATACAGTATTTCATACATACACATCAGCTTACATTGTTCTTGTTACTTCTAGATTAGTTCCCAGTACAAGAACCCAGCCCCTGGATGTTCTCAGCTCCTCCCACCAGTGGGCTCTGCCCTTAACGTGCTCTGCTTGGCTTGTGAGTCTCCTTACCTTTGCCAGGCCCCCCTCTTTGGGGTCCTGATCCATCCCAGTAGCCCTGCTTTAAACTGACCACGCAGAGGGGCATTAGTGTGAATTCTCCACACCTCGTGTTTTCAAACGCTTCCATTTGTATTATATTTTCACCAGTCAGCTGCCTTGAACATATGTGCTTGGAACCATCCAACTTTCAAATGTGTTGAATGAGTTTGACAAAAATTTATGGATATATTGGAACATAGAATATCTAATATTTAATGGCGAAAACGTTTTGTACCTGAGAACAATTTTAATGCAAGAGAGATCTGATTCCCTGTGTACTGCACAGAGAAGATTCTAACCTAAAATCAGCTTTTATATCACTGGGTTTTATGCCGCTGTAGCACACATGGTCCCCTGTGGCCACACAGTTAGACTCAATCTTACTCCGGCCGATCGCCTGTGATGATCAACCCCGTGACTCTGCCAAGTGGCTGCACCCACGGAAAACCTTCACAGTGAACGTAATTCATAAACTCTCTTGTCAGTGCCTCGATCCTGGATCTTATGCCTAGACTGTTTTATCTCCTTTTGTTCAAATAAAGTGGAATCACCCCCAAAGCATAAGCTCTCAGGTGTGACTCCTGTATCTCATTTGGGATTCTGATTTTATGGCAGGCTCAGACAAGTTTAAAATTAATTTCATGGCAGGAGACTTTCTGTATTTACTATTAAGATAGATTTTCCGCTTGGTGCAGCGCTCCAAGGGACTCTGTTTTGCCAACAGTTGAAGGTCAGTGTTGACACAGTGGGCACATTGGTTCTCCCACCTCTCCTCTTTGGTCTCTTTTCTGAGTATTTACTGATTGCAAACTTCTCAGGTAAGTTATAGAGCTCCTGGAGCAGACGCTTCCTGCCTTCTCGGGAACAATTCTCTGGTTCTCCTCTGAATCGCCTCTTCTAACAATGTGCTGGTTTCTAACATGGCCACACGTTGTTTTCCTGTTACATATAGGGGACAAGAGTTGTCACTGCTATTGTTAAATACATTTTCTGCCAATAATAAGCAGAAGTGAGCCCATTATAGTAACTCTTCTAATGGTAATCTGAAGCAATGAGCTAAGATATGGATTCATAATGCTACTAATAAATACATAATTCTTAAAATAACCCTGAAGGCAGGGGCTGTTATCATTCCTGTCACCAGATGAGGCCACTAAAACACAGGGAAAGTAACTTGCCTGAGGCCACATATTCAACAATACATGATTTGAACCAGTCCTACTGAACACTGAAGAGAGCTTTAAATTCTGTGTTTCCCATGTATTTTGGTTTTAGTTCAATAATTACTATTGCTTTATCCCTCGGGCCTCATTTTTGGCTATTAAGATTCTTAAAAATATTCAAGAATCCTTCACTATCTTTTCTTTAGTAGAGAGCTATTAATGACTAATAGTAGACATGTGGAAAAGGGAAATAGCATGTCTGTTCACATTTTTTAAAAAAGCCTCATTGCTTTTACAACTAACATGAGTAAAACAGTCCTTTTTGTAATTATTTTGCTGCTGGGTAAAAATTTTAAATATTTTGCTGCCATCTAGTGGCCGAAATGAATATAACATGCAAACATAATTTTGCCTTTTCATTTGCATTTTGAGACTTTAAGTACTACCTTAAGGGTAGTTTTTTAAAAATCATTAAATGTGCATATATTAAATCTGAAATTTAAAACAATATCAACATACACAGTTATCATTCTTTTTTCTTGCTATTTCTTATTTATTCTTCCTCTGCTAAAATAACATATGACATGGTATTTCACTCACATCCAGAGTTCTTCTTTAATATCAAATAAGAAGGTATTAGAAGAGAAACTAGAATCTAATTAATTTTTTGGTGGGTGGTATTTGATGTGATATATATTATATGTATTTCTGTTAGAATTTTATTTATACCAATTCTTTTCTTTCTTTTTTTTTCTTTTTTTTTGAGACAGAGCCTCAAGCTGTCCCCCTGGGTAGAGTGCTGTGGCATCAGAGCTTGCAGCAACCTCCAACTCCTGCGCTTAAGTGATTCTCTTGCCTCAGCCTCCCAAGTAGATGGGACCACAGGCGCCTGCCACAACACCCGGCTATTTTTTGGTTACAGTTGTCATTGTTGTTTGGCAGGCCAGGGCTGGATTCGAACCTGCCAGCTCTGGTGTATGTGGCTGAGCCATAGGTGCTGAGCCTATGCCAATTCTTAATTGACAATTTTTCATGTGTCCAAGCATACTTATACCTGATCAATTTCAATCATATTTGCTTAATTATATAAATGATTGCATTTAGACATTGAAAGCTTCACTTTTGCATGTCCTGTTAGAATCCTTCCTATTCTTCTACATAAATAAATATACACTGATCATAGATTTTAAAGAATTTTGATCAGTGCTCCTGAAGCTACTTGTCTTTTCATAAATATATTTTGTCTACCATTCCAGAGGGCAGGGATTTTAATATATTTGCACCATCAAAACATAAAATAGTCAGTGAATTCTTATTTATGCTGCCCCATGGATAGACTTTTAAGGATCCGATCATCTGAATATTATGAAACACCAGTTCAAATCAGTTTCTGCCCTATTTTAAAATAACGGACATGACTACACCCTGAAAAGCAAAAATTGGCAGATGCTGAAAACTTTTTACACAGCATTTCCTAACCATGGCACTTTGTACGCTGTGTAGGCCCAAAGTGCAATTATTTGGGGGGCCCGTGCATGGTCCCTTGGCTGAATAAGGACACAGTATGTTCTCAGTATTGTAATGCACAGTTATAAAAACAGCCCTTTGAGCACAGGGAGAAGTAGGAAGGAAATTTCAAGTCGGGTAATAATTGTGAACATTGGCAATGACCTGGGGGGGAGGGGCATGTTCTGCTATATTTCTCCCATGGGAGGCTAAAAAAGATCATTTTCTAAGGATTTTTAAACTAAATAAGATGAGCGGTATTAACAGTTTTAATATTAACCATGTAACGTGTTGTTCAAAAAGATGAACATTTTTCCTGGATTAATCTAAGTTCATTATATCATTTAGTCACCAAATATTTATGAAGTGTTTATTATGGGCACCTTAGACACAGCATTCGGCAGTAAGGTGAGTGTCAGCATGTAAGATTTACCTCTGTGCACTCATGGAGCTTATGGTCTATGGAGATGACCTCCTTTGATCAGGCATTTTCCTTTCAAACAGTTCCAGCCTTGTTCTGCCTGTATACTGGAATAAGGACGATTTGTAGCTGGCATTAAGTTCTAGGTTCCTCTCCCACATACAGTGAAAATAGGATACTTTTCTTTACAATGCCCTAAGCACTACTAAATACCCTGAGAGAATCAACTTGTGTTTCACCACTAATGATCAAAGCTCCACACCTCCTAATTTCAAGGGATTTAATTAACATACCCAGTTTGTACTGACCAACCTGGTTTTACTTCACCCAAGCGGTAATCTATTAAATAACTTCAGCCCCATGAGACCCCATCACATGACTTGACTTCCAACATCTCAGGACTCTCCTGACCCAATACCACATTCATTTCCTTAGGATAATGTACTTTCTGCTGTCATTTTCTAAAAAACTAACATATTAGCCAGTGAAGCAATTAACAATGCATCAAAGCCTCTAACTGCAAAATTAGACTTTACGTCTAAAAATATTAAATGCTTTAAAGGCTTAAATATATAGACTTTTGCAGTGTTAGTTCAGCATCATTCCAAGGCACATTTAAAAAAAAAAAGAAGCTGGGTGCGATGGCTCACACCTGTCACCCTAGCAGTCTGGGAGACTAAGGCAGGTGGATTGCTTGAGCTCAGGAGTTAGAGACCAGCTTAAGCAAGAGTTCAATCCCTGTCTCTACTAAAAATAGAAAAACTAGGAGGGCACTGGGGTGGGTGCCTATAGTCCCAGCTGTTCAGGAGGCTGAGGCAAGAGGATTGCTTAGGCCCAAGAGTTTGAGGTTGCTGTGAGCTGTGACACCAGGCACTCTACCCAGGCTGACACAGTGAGACTGTGTCTCAAAAATAAATAAATTAGTTAATTAATTAAACTAAAAAAATAAGGACATAAAGCCACAGTTTTCTTGATCCCATGCTCCTAAGTGTCTCCCAATGCACTCATCGAAACCCCAGAATCCTAAAGCAAATTTAAGGCTGCTGGAAACTCTCTCAGACACTCAGATATGTGCCCACACATTCCTCGTCTCATCTACAGTTTCCTCAAAGGGCCCTAATTGCCTTAGCTCCTTCTTGAGAAATGTAATATCCAGACTCAGAACTTAAGTCCTTTATCACCACCCTTCATTTATAAAACAAACATATAGAGTTTGCCCTTCTTAGTTTACACTCTATTTTTAACATTTAGAAAGCTTTTTCATTAAAAAACACAGCACCAACGTTTTGCATCCACGTCTTTATTGGTTTTGGTGATCAGAACAACTGCGTTCACTCCGAGCGTCGTCATTCACGCCTTCACGTTCTAGGAATCGTTCATTCCTGCCTCACGTCAGAAAGGCATCGGAGGCAGTTCTTATTTTAATAGTCATGCAAAGATAAAAGTGATGAAATTAAAAATAAATGGCCCTCCTTCAGGTAAAGAAAGATACTAGGATAAAGTCAACCACCTTTGTGGAGAAGAAAGTCAAATATTGGATCAAACTTTTTAAAACTCCTGGTCTTCCTGGGTTTTCCTTTCTTTTCAAAGAGCTCAGCTAAAACCAAGGAATCTTAGTTCAAAGTTCAATAAGTGATGGACTTCTTGTTGGTGTTAAGAGTTAAGACACATTATCATCTCAATTCTTGGTGTCCTGAGCCACTTTAATTTCCCGTTTATGCTTTATTGATATACGATTTCAGAAAGCCCTCCTACATATAGAACTGCTCGTGGTTTAAGATGGACTACGCGTAATTTGAAAATAGGAAAGCTAAAGTTCTACTAGAGTTAAGAAGGCAGAAAAGTGGTGTCCGATCGCCATTTTTCTGTATCTTTACTTTTCCATCTCAGCGTCTTCTTGGAAACCTTCCTACAAATTCTACTTTTACAGGGAGGATGATGATTACAAAAGGCAAATGTGAAATCTATACTTTCATGTTAGATCTTGTCAAACGGAACTTTGGTTTCTTGGTGACTGCGCCTCTCACACTCACTGCTCAGCGCAGAGAAAGGAACTATGCTTAGAGGAAGGAGCCCCGAGGGAGGCGAGGAAGCAAGCTCTCCAGTGGCAGGTTTCCTTTCCTGAAGAGGGCAAGATCCCGCCTCTTCATTTGAAGGAGGCTTTCACCAGCCTGCCCTTGATAGGCTGCGGAGGGCGCCAGTTTCTCACAAGGGGCACCGGGGGCTCGTTCTCGGCGCTGGAGAGGAGGCTCCGCAGCTTGGCCATCTGCGGGGCAAGGGCTCATTGTTAGCAAGGCCTTCAGACCAGGTGGACACACTGTGCATCAGAGAATTAGAAATCACTGGCCTTTTCAAGACAAACACAAAACCCGTTCCCAGTGTTCCATTCAGGGTTATTCAGATACCTGTTCCTGAGTAATCGAAATTTGTTATTTATTTGTAAAAGCTCTTTTCCTCATCTGATATAGGATCCCCATGACCTCTGGTCAAAACCTTTTTCTCCTGATTCTGAAGCAATTATTTTGATTTGTGGGATCAATAGGAAGTATGCGCTTTATAAAAGGGAATGACAATATTAACCGTGCAAATACATGTAATAAGCTTGCATTGGGCAAGTTTATGGAATTATTTTATTTATTTTACTTAATTTTTATTAAATCATAGTTGTATATGAATTTGTGATTTTCTTTTTTTCTTTTTTTTATTGAATGGTAACTATGTACATTAACGCACTTGAATTTGTGATTTTAAAAGCAAAAAGAAATGAGACTCGTGCTACATTTTAAATGTTAAATGACTTTTTTTTCCTAAAGCGTAAGAAAATTCTCATTAATAACACTAGGCTTTCTCCTTGAGAAAATTTCATTCTTCTTTCAAAATATTTATACCAACAAACAAGATTGGTTAGATCTAATCTTTTGATAAACATCCCTATGTATACTTGAGCCCACAACTGGCAGAAATACAGAAGCTGCTGTCTTCAGCAAGGCAGACATACTCATAAAAGATTTTACTATTAGACATTCATGTTCCAGGCTGTGAGTCCCTGTGCTGTCCAGTTGCTTTAAAGGTCCTTGTCCGTGTTCTTGCCCACTTCTTTTCTCCCAAACGGCTTTTTCTTGGAAGTATTTTTAATAAATGCTTCCAGGATATTCTTTAGATCAGTGGTTCTCAACCTTCCTAATGCCGCAACCCTTTAATACAGCTCCTCACGTTGTGGTGACCCCCAACCATAAAATTACTTTCATTGCTACTTCATAACTGTAATTTTGCTACTGTCTTGAATAATAATGTAAATATCTGATCTGCAGGAGACCCCCAAAGAGGTCACCACCCTCAGGTTGAGAAACACTGCAAAGTTGAGATGAATGGTAAGAGGGAGGCCTGAGAAGAGGGGCCATTGGAAGCTGAGAGACCAGAGCTGGGATTAGGAACCTACACTTGCCTGTGTGATTGTGGGTAAATTATCTAACCTTTCTGAGCCTCGATTTCTTGACCTGTAAAACTGGAGAAATAATCCACAGATCACATGATGATAATCCCTTCCATCAGCACCCTCCCTGGGCCTGTATTTACCATCTCATCCCCTTATCAATGCTGGGTATTTGGGGGACGTCCAAATTCCCAAAGATTCACTCATATTAACCTAAATTTTCAAGTGTTTGTGGAGTATAAGCTCAGTCATGTGTTCGGGATCACAACCACTTTTAAATGATTTGCATTTATCCTGGTACTCTTATACCAGAGAGTTCAACCAGAGAGTTGAACAGGCCAGGCATAACTCCCCAGGGCAAGCTATGAAATCTCTAGCTTTGGGGTAAGTGCCCGTTTAGCAGCCATGTATAGACTCTTTGGCGTCTATCAGTGTAAGCCCGCCTGTTCACAGGCTCTGCGGCCGCCCCTCACCTGGTCGGAGCTCACTGTGATGGGCTCCTTCAGCAGCAGCCACACGATGCACTCCTCGCAGGGCGGGGTGGTGAAGGAGCCGTGGTAGGTCCAGTAGTCCCGGCACGCGGGGAACAGGCAGGACGGGTCGAAGTGCGTGAAGGGCGCCTCCTTGCCCTGCAGAGAGCGGCGCAGGTGCAGTGAGCGGCTCAGGCGCTCACCCACGGCTCTCACCATTTTTATTTGTCAGAATGGATTTCAAACGCAATCGAGAGAACAGAACTTTTAAACCAAGTTCAGGCCTTTCAGAAATAAAGGCAAAAGGGGACAGCTCGTTTGCATGTTACGACTTTCATCTGGCACCATCGTGGTAAAATTGTTGTAACTGCTGGTAGTGCTATAATTGTGTCACTTCTCAAGAAAAGGGGGAAACTGATAACTGAAATGTAAGGCAATTATTTCATATATAAGTTAATGGTTTTGGTTCCTGATGGTAAAAGAAATGAGGCTTGAAGTTTTATTAAATGTTATACTCAGAATCCTCTTGGTAAAACTTAATAGCATTTGATGAAAATAGTCGCAAAAGACAATAAAAATGTGTCTATTGATTGTAAGAGTCTACTGTTAAGATGTAAAATATATATGATGTTTCCATAAAGGCAACAGCAGGACTCAAAAGACCAGCCTTGGGTGATATCTAGTAGCTCTGTGATCCTATGCATGCATCCACGTGGAGTGTGTGTGTGTGTGTGTGTGTGTGTGTGTGTGTGTTGGCAGGAGGAAGGGGTGAGCACTCAACTTCTCCTACTCTCATCCACATCACTGAGAAAGTAATTATCTCACTGGCTGACTGTGATCCTTAACTAAAGTGATAGTAAGTGATACTGCTCTAAAAACTATATGTAGTAGAATTTTTTTATGTGTATGCTTAGCATATCTATCAAACTTGGTAACCGATTTTAGCTGAAAAAATATTCTTGAGAATGTAAAAAAATATATATATATACAGACATACTCTGCTTTGTGTTAGGAGGGACAATGACTTTCTTTGGTTTACCTTTGTCTTAATTTTGTCCAGTGCATCAAGGAAAATCTGAAACTCGCCTTTCTCACGTCCTATCTGTAAGAAAATAGAAATGCAAAGTATGGTATTTTTCCCTTCTCCACAATTTAGGATTGTCTTAAAAACTGATTTTGATCCATTCATCTGCAACCAGTGTTTATACATCTGCCACAATATCTTACACTAAGCAAAAACATATGTTTATTTTCCCGTTAGACTTTAAAGTATGTGTTTTCTGGTCTAAATTTGGATTCCAGGCCTTAGAAGTACAGACCACAAAATTACATGTTGATCTAGCTCTATGTCCTTGACCTTCTCTGCAGTCGCTCCACTTAAAAAAAAAAAAAAAAAAAACCTCCACTAAAATGGACGCTGAGTGTCCCAACCTAACTCAACCTAACTGTCTTTCCATTCAGATCCGCTCTGGGTTGTGTTGTTGTGCTGTGTTCAGCCCCTGAAAATGACCCAATGAATTCAGAACTTGAAACAAATTAGGTCATTCAAAAAGAAAGAAGCCTAAGATTTTCACCTCTGGCTTAAAATCTAGATTATGTTACTACTAACCTCATGTGTTAATGACCCTAAGTCCTCTTTAAACCAAGTCTGGCTCAACAACACACACATTCCATGTGCTATCTTAGCCTGGAATCATGTGGGTGGTGGCCACCTCAAGCCGAGGGGATGTCCAGACAGGGACTTGGCATCACAGTGGATCCCGACATCGGCTTTTCTGGTTTCCAGGGCAGTTGACATGGAGCAATGAGAAAGGAAAATGAAAGCATGCCATCCTCGCCTTCACCAAGGCAGAAAAATCTCCCTGGTCAGCTCTTTTTCCACCCCCCTACACACACCCATACACATAGCTCGCATCTGAAAAAAGTTTAGAAGTGCTAGGGGTACCAGATTGGGGCACAAAGTACACTTTTAGAGGAAAAAGAAACATTTCAAGCTGTTCTTAGGAGAAATATCTTGATTAGTTGAATGAATAATAAAATGTATAGCGAGAGAGGACAGCAAAAGAAGAGGACGAAAGTCACACTATCTTGAGAACTGATAAGGAGCTCAATTTTGAAAAACAACATATGGTCAGTATTTACCTTTAGAAATATGCCAATCACAGCAATTCCATCATGCTGCTTCAGAGCTTCTTTAAAAGTGTTATACTTTGGATTCCAGTGAACCAAATGAAGCTGAAGCCATAGAAGACAGGTTAGGAGGTAAATTCTTGGAATAAGAAAATATTAGTAAGTATAAAAATTAGCCGCCATAAACTCAATAATTGTACAGTCTCAGGTTGCTGAACACCTTTAACAAAGCTGATACAGGTCTAAAAATGAATGTGCAATATTTTGGTGACAATTTTAATGGTTCACATAAAAAGCACATCAAAGTATCTCACCTCCTTTTGGCATCTAGGTCTGTAGCACCTGGCAGGAACTTAATTTAGAACACGGGCACAGTTAAGCTAATCAGATTTCCCATGCTGAGTTACACAGAATGGCAAGAGAATCTAATAGTTTGCAGGAGTTAAAAAAATAGTTTATTCAAGATCCAAAGTGTGAGATAATCCCATGTGCAAAGGTCAAACTGAAAACCTTGCCTACATCGGTAAGAAATAGGCCAGTTTTTCCTCATTTGTGGCAGAAGCTGGCTAGAAGGCACTCTCAATATTTAATTTATGCTGCTCAAGATAGGCTGTAGAGAAATGGAACAACCATAGTGAAGTGCTTTGAGTTTTCTAGAGTTTAATTTAAGCAAAATTATGCTGATTAATGATCTGCCCACAGTATGTTTTCAGGTTCCTGCCACAGCCCCTGTGTTCACCAGAGCCTGCCCCCGAAAAACAGTAAGGCAGGAAAAATGAATTGATCCTCACATCCAGAGCACCTGCCACCATTTTTAGGTTTAGCTTTATAAGGAGATTATGTCAGAGGTCTGTCTTACTCCCTTGCAATTTGATGCCTCAATCTGAGCTCCGAATCATGTTTTCTTAACGAGAAAGTAATGAGTAAGTAAAACAGAGAGAATTATTTGTTGATATTAAATTGTATGTGTGCGTCTGTTTCTGTCTGTGTGTATATACACACATTTACTCTTGTATACACACACACGTATATATGTGCACACCTTTAAGAAACTGGAACATAAGCATTAATCCAGATTTCTAAATGTTACTTTTAAAGCACAATGTTCTTATAAACGAGGCAGCGTAGGGCAGTTGACAAGGTGATGAAGCCACCTGCGTAAGGTAGAGCACTGACACTTATCAGGTGTGTGACTTTGCTATGTGACTTTTCTGTGCCTCTGTTTCCTCATCTGCAACTTCTCTTCTGAGATAGATTGTGGAGCAGATGAAATCAGTTAATACACGTAAACACTGAATGTGTGTTAGCTGTCCTTCTCTCTCTAGTCCCTTTGAGGACCCAGGTCTTTATTATATCAAGCAACTCTCCGATTCCTTAATAGAGCCTTGAAAATCTTCATGCATGATGCTGTCTCACCGACACCCTCATGAACTGTCTAGCCTAGGATCTTTAGCAGCTTCAGTTCATGCTAACACTACTCCAGCTCTTCTCACAACCAGTTTTGAAGCAAAAGCAATGGATGATGTTTTGCTGGGATGGTCACTTTTAAGTTTTCAGTTTTCACTGTGTGAGACCCAGGGTAGATGACAGCACTTCCTCCTACCTCTGCTGCATACTTGACTCCATCCACGGTGTGCTCAGAGCCGTGATCATCCGAGGAGCCCCAGTGGAGATGAAACTGGCGAAGTCGGTAGGGTCCGGAGAGAGGACCACCTCTAAGCACTGTGATTTGGAAAAGTGAGGTCAATGGCGAATTCGCACTTCTCTTACAAAGCCCTCCCTTAAACAAGTGCTCGTAGAGCCAAGGCTTGATGACACACCAGACCCCTCAGACAAAAGGGAGTCTTGGGATGTATGGAAATATGTGATCTTTCTTCTCTATCTTTCATATTTTGTTTGCTTGTTCTATTATTTTTATGTGTCATTTTTAACATTTATGAAAATAACATTAAAACAGCAGATGGACAATGAGGATACATATGCCTAAAGAACAGGTCAGTAATGTAGCAAAATGTGAAGAACTGGAGGACTGAGATCCTGGCTTCACCCCTTACTAGTGGCGTGATCTCTGGCAAGTTGCTAAACTTCTCTGAACCCATTTTTGCATCTCTAAGAACATGATAATAATATCAAACGATCAGAGCCACTGTGAGGATTAGCTGAGATTAAGTACCTTACGTTTTTTATCACGGTGCCTGCACAGTGACCACTGAGCAAATGTGAACTTCTCCTCCCTGTCTTACTTTCAAGTACTCTTTTCTTTTCTTTCCTTTTCTTTTCTTTTCTTTTTTTTTCTTTTGAGACAGACTCTCACTTTGTTGTGTAAGTGCCATGGCATCATAGCTCACAGCAACTTCAAACTCTTGAGCTATACTTTTCTTTAAGACAACAATTAAGGACTTTCCTCCATGTCTAATTTAAATCGTAGTCAAATGAGATAAAAAGGAAAATTCAGCACTTTCCCAAGAAATCAAGTGATACGAGAAACTGAACTCATTAATTTCTCAAGCATTAATTTGGGCTTCCCCTCCCTTATTTACTTCTCCCTCCCCCACATTTATTCAGGCTTGCTGTATAAATATCTCAACCCATCAATTAATTTGGTCTCTAGTCATCTTGGGGAGAGACTTAGATGTTCAAATAGCTGCCAAAAGGTATTGGAAACTATGTAAAAACCCTGAAACCGAGATTTAGCAATATGAACTAGATCAAAATAAAAATCAGAGCTTAGCTCCTTTTAGAAAGGATTAGACACACTACACGGCACAGGGAAAGCCTCAAAATAGACCTAAAACGAAAATCCTCGGCCTACATGAGCTTGGCAGTGTGTGGATGAATTGGTTCGATTTCTTGCATTTTTCCTGTTCCACCACTCAGACGTCATTACCTGAATATATGAATCCAATTTGTTAGAATGAACCATATGAAACTGCCAATATTCAACTATTTTTGCTCTTAAAATGGCATTTCCATGTGGTTCTGCCTAATAAATACTGTTTAATTTCATCATTTGACCTTTAAAGTGGAAGTTGGCTTAAAAGGAGAAGGGGGAAAAAAGGAAAAGATAGCAACACAAAATTGTTGTTTAATAAAATGTACTTCCTATCACTGGGAACCTCCTAGTAGGTGGAAATTATGACTCCCTTAATACTTTTGATTATAACATCCCCAAGAACATTCACTGATGCATTTCAATGAGGATAATGTTAATTTTATTAGAAAAGTGGTCATACAAAACTGCTGTACGTCAAACACCAAAATATTAAAGGAATAGTCTTTCTTACCCTATTTATAGTGAAATAAATTATTTTTAATCAGACTTCTTTTATTTCACTGATTTGCTTACTAGTATAGGTGAAATAAAGAGATTTTTGTAAAAATCCTGATTTTCTAGTTTCACACACATACAAATACTACTCAAGAAGAAAGTTTCAAATATTTCAAAAACACTCACCAAAAGGACTACTCAGAATCTGACTGAAGCACTCAAGGCAGTACAGGACTTAAACAATCCCCCCCCCACACACACACACACACCCCGGGATCAGTCCCCTCCCCGGCACCAGGGGAGTCAAGTGCCCTTGGCTTTTTGTTTTACGTCTTGCCTCAGCCATCAGGATCTGAAGAATACTCATCTGGATTTATTGTCATCACAGTCCTATCAAGCTCCGTTTCAGGATCGTATTGCCAACATTTAATTTGGGCACGCGGCCATTTTGCAGCAACAAAGTGACCACGTTTGGAAGCGAGACCTTCCCCTTCAAGGCACAAATATAATTCTGCACAGCTAAAGCAAAGTCAAATGTCATCTCCACTGTCAGAGCTGAAGGTCTCCCGCTGCTCATGAATTCTGTTACTATGTCACACATCACGTTTTGCCGATATGGAAGCTGAAAACATCCGTGTGCCTCTAGCTATGTGTGTACTTACTTGACCTGTCATAGGTATCATCAAACACCACCCTGCAGGTCTTCCCGTTGTTCAGGATGGTCTTGGCAGAGCCACCATCATAAGACACTGACCAGGGCTGCAGAGAAGGGTCATGCTGGATGTCTTTAGTATGCAGCTCAATGGGTGACTGTTCGTTCCCCTTGGCAAATGGAAAAAGTTCCGGCCAGTGGTCAGGACCTAGAAAATAAAGTTGGGGAAATTTATTTATTTGATGGCACAACCCAAGGCCTCTTTCTAGTCGATGGAACCAGCAAAATGCTCACAGCCCAGACAATGATTACGCACAGGGCTTGGGTTTCAGGTTGAGCAATACCACACAGCTTTTCAGCCCGGTTCATAACCGTGTTGATAGTGTGCCTGGAGACTAATATTTAACTCAGTGTATCAGCTCTGCTTACTCAAAAGGCTTCTTGTTGAAATGGGCTTCATCACATTTTCGTCCAAGGCCACTTTCTGTCATGCAGTGGCTCACACATGTGTGCATCGCTTGGTGGATTTCAGGGCAGACCTACGCTCCTTCTCCCATCGGTTAGGCGGAGACTCTGAGGCCCACACCCAGCTCGCATTAAGTGCCTGCCCAACATCACAGACCAGTCTCCAGAGCTAACAACCTGGACCTTGGGTTGCTGACTTTTCAGTCAGAGGCAAGTATGCAGCTTGCAGAGGCAAGTTACAGAACTTCTCTGCGCTTCAGTTTCTTCAGCGGGAAATAACTTCATCCTTGGGAGAATGAAATGAGCTGAAGGGGAAAGGACCAGCGGCACTTAGCACCAGCAAAGTGCTGGGTCAATGTGAGCTCTTATTGTGCTCGTTTTCCGCCGGGTTCCCCGGAGGCGCCCGCTTTCCGTGCACTGCCAGGGTCTCCGCGGGCGCCGTCCTGGACCCCGCCGCACTCACCGTTGTGGTCGGCGTAGCCCCACTCCTTGGCCATGGTCGTCTTTCTCCTCGCTGGATGGCTCCTGCCTTCCCTTCCCCAGCGTCGCGCCGAGTCCCCGCGAGCCCGCGCCTTTTATATAGGTGCCCCCAGCACACTGCATGGCCTTATTAGGGCAGCGAGGGTGGGGCGGGGGGCTAAACTGGATTGGGGTGGTATTCGGGAGGCGGGGTGGGGGAAGCCAATGAATTCCAAGAGCTGGACAGCTGTCCGGGTGAGGGGGGTGGAGGTGGACCTAGGGGCCCCCACCCCCGCCCTTCTCTCTCCCTAGAACGGTGACTTTGGCGCTTCCATCTCTCCCTCGGTCTCCAAAAGCTGCAGGGCTTCCTAACCCGCGCCGACGTGCAGAAATGCAGGCAGCTTGCGCCTGGTCCTCCCTCCTCCTCCATGCATTTTGGGGAGTGGGATGGGCGGGGATGGGGTGTCGTAGCCGTGCTTAGCCAACAACTAAAATCTGCATCCCGGCGGCCCCTGCAGCCTCCCTTACAAGTGGCTCTCAGCTCAGGCTGGCCGTCTGGCTGCGGTCCCCCTGCGATCTGCGAGTTTATTTCGCTCCACGGATCAGATTACGGTGGCTGGAAAGAACAGGCTTGTTTGCCTGACTCATGTCTGACTCCTTTACAGACGACCTGTAAAATCCTAGGAGCAAAGGATGAGAAAAAAGAGGCCGGGAGGGCAGGCTCTCTAACTCCGTTATCCGTAAAGAGATTGCCCTCTCTGGAATCGCACCCGGCGGCGTTTCCCAGCCTAAGCGTGTCGCTTTGGTCTGCAGGAAGCCGAGAGCTCAATCTCGGAGAGCGCCAGGAATCTGGCAGACGTCTAGATCCCAGACTCGCTCTGGGAGCAGGAGCCTGGGACTGATTTAGCCGCGCTCTCGGCGCTATTTCTCTGCACCCGAAAAGTCGAGAATATTCTGAAGTTTTGGAAGAACACTAACATGAAATGAGTCCTATTGCTTATAACACAGGGTCTCACTTTCCAAGACATAATGACAGATCGGAAGACAAGAAAGAGGAAAAGGTTTGCAGAACGGCTTTGTAGTTTTTCTCCCCCTCCTACATTGCCTTATAATACCGAACCATGCAAAAGAGGAATAATAAAACTGGCCTATCCAGTGTGTACATGACAAAAGAAAACTTTTAAATGTCTGGTTATAATTCCCCAGTGAAGAAGTGAGTATAATAGATACTTACAATTCTAAGACTGTATTGTAAAATTTCTTCTGCTCTAAAATAATTTTGTCAACAAGACAAGGAGGAAGGATGACTCTCATTTCAATATTATCTTAAACGAGATTCCAAGTATTTATTTCCTTAATTTGATTTTTATTGATAACAGTATTTTGTATTAGGGGATTACAAAACTTGAAAAGGAAATCGCTCATCGAGTCAAAGATAGCTCATCCCTAAGGCGTGTGGAATGACTGACCACACTCATAACCTGGGCGCCAGGGGAGTCATTCTCTCGGCTATTTTTGTGACCAGAGATTGTTTGATCTACACAATAGCTTTGTGGAATCAGGACCTGAACCAGCTCAGAAAACACTGCAAGCAAACGCTCTTAAACTTCTGAGCTCAAATATGTCACTGTTTGGACGAGCTGGGATGCCTGGGCCAGTTTTCTACTTGACTATAATAGCACGATGCTGCAGACTGTAGTTAATAGAGGTGTTTTATATTTCCTATTAAGCATATATTTGTATGATTAAACCATAAACTTGTTCTAATTCATTCAATCATTAGAATATCTCTTTCTCTAGTACCTGTGGTTAGATGATTGGTAAATAAGTTTCATGTTATTTGATATTATAGTAACATAGATGAGCTATTTAATAACTTCTTTATACCAAGGACAATCTAGGAATTCATCATATCTTTATCGTTTAAACATAGATGAGCTTTTTCTTTAGAAAAATACTTTTTAATTAGAGAATGTGCACAACGGCACATAATTTTAAATACATGCTAAGTTGAATTTGCAAAGTGAAACATTATATTCAATAGCTTTAAATGTGGCCTTCAAAATGAGGACTGGTGTTTTCCTTGAACTTTTTCTTAAGAAGTTAATAAAAATTGCAACTTCAGGATAATTTATACCAACTTATGTAATATTAGACCGTAACAGTTTTTCCAGAAACCTCATCTGCAAATACATTTTTCTAAAACCTCATCTTCAAATGAGTCTTTGGCATCTTGATTGATTCAGCATGCATGCCTATGCATTTCAAAGTTCCCTATCAACCCATAGAAGAGGTGATTTTAAATTGTGTCCAAGATTTTGAGATTTCTGGAGTTGGCTTGAACACTGTTAAGTACACGCTGAAGTAAATAATGTCAGGAAAAAAGAGCAAGAAATGATTAACTACGAATTACCTCCTAGCATTGCTCCCAGTACCATTATTGTAAAGTTGATGCATTGGGCACTCTGTATGAGTTTTTCCCCCAGAATGAGTATACACATCCAAAGGTGTACAGCAACCAAGAAGGAAAATATGTGGGTGAACAAGACTTAGGAAAGGAGTGTCTGAATATGAAGTTTCAACTAAGATTGTATGTTAAAATTAAAAACGTGAAAGATCTGAGGTGATGATATTTAAACATATTTTACTTGTGATTTAGAACTTTATTTTGCAACATGCCAGGTTATATAACTAACTCAAATCTTCTGCAACTTGATACCAATGGTGTTTACATTAGAGAAAAAAAATAGAGAGAAATTTGCCTACTTATTCACATCTGAGATAAGTTAGGATTTGAAGTCATTGCATAATTTTGCTTAAATAGTTTACATATTATAGAGGCAGATATTTTCCACTCCATTTTCATTTTCCTAAAACAAGTTCTGGAATAGAAACATGAAAATGGTAAATGAAAATTAAAATTTTTAATTAATGGACTTTACTGTCATAATTTTTGCTTTCCTCCCTGACAATGTTTTTTTGTTTGTTTGTTTATTTCCATAGCTGGAGTAATTGTCTTCTATAGGAACATGATAAGCCCAATTCCTGAGTGTGTCACCAGTGACAGCTGGGCCATTTGAATCAGGTCTTAAAATTTGGCTCTTGATGGCAAATTTGTACGAGAGCAACCTAAGACCTTGTCCCAACTGGTGTCTCTCATGGAAGTATGTCAGTCTAAGATAGTCATGATAATGGAGAGTGGGAGCATGAATTCAGTGATGAAGACCCCCCAAATCTTACATGATTTGATCATTAGGGTCCATAAATTCAAACTATTTTTCCAACACAAATTCTTCTTTTAAAGTGCAGTAATAGCATTTTAAGTGGAGGAAAACGCATTGAACTTTATGACATTTTTCTTGAGGATCAAATCGAGATGCTCAAGTTTAATTTTCAAAAACTGAATGAAAGAATTTCCTTGTAAAATTAACAATCAGAATTTCATTTCCTTTTGACATTTCAGATTTAGGAGGCCATTTGCCAGGCACCTCACCTATAAAATGGAGAGAGTGAATGCCCCTTACTGGATCTTGTGGGGCTTAAATGAAGTAATGTATCTAAGGTGCTTATGACAGAGGCCAACGTAATTAGCACTCAGCAAAGTTAGCACTCTTCTCTAGCCTTGTTAATGTCCTGTAATTTCTCTCTAAGCCAGTGGTTCTCAACCTTCCTAATGCCGCGATGTATTCTCATTGTTACAAAGGGGTCGCAAACTACAGATTGAGAACCACTGCTCTAAACAATCATCTACCCTGCATGACCCTTGTTCCTTGTTGGCCATAAATAGTACCTTCTGTGCATGTTGCAAACCACAGGTGCTAACCATCCGAAATCACTTAAATAAAGAACATATCCTGTAAGCGTCGGATAAAAATTGATACCCACACTATACATCCTTTTCTTCAACTGTTTGCACTGCTCCAAGTAATCACCAGTTGACCCTTTCCACAGGTCAAACCCTACATGACCAATTATGCACAAAATATATTAATCTAACAAAGTTAAGTGAAGCTCATAGCACTGTGATAAGAAATAAAAATCATGGGATTCCTACAAAGCTTAAAACTTCTTTTGTATATTATTTCATGAGTAAGTTTTTTTTTAATTTGCACAAATTTATGTGCAATTTTGCTATATGCATAGACTGTGTGGTGGGCCAAGTCAAGGATTTTAGGATTTCTGTCACCTGAATAATATACATTGTATCCATTAACTCATATCTTATCACCTCCTTGCCCCCTTCTGAGTCTGCATTGTCTATCATTCCACTCTCTACTTCCATGTGTACACATTTTTTAGTGCATAATTATGAGTGAGAATATGTGATACTTGACTTTTATATCTGGTTTGCTTCACTTCAGATAACGGCAGTCAGTTCTATCCATGTTGCTACAAAAGACATGATTTTATTCTTTCTCGTGTCTAAATAGTCACAAAATATATCACATTTTCTTTATACATTTCTCCAATGATGGATGCTTAAATTGATTCTGTCTTTTGAAAAGTGTCTCTATATGTTCTTTGCCCACTTTTTAATGTGATTATTTAGGGATTTTGTGCATGAGTTGTTGGAGTTCCTTATAAATTCTAGATATTAGTCCCATGCTGGATGTATAATTTGTAAATATCTTCTCTCATTCTTCAGGTTATATGTTTGCTCTTCTGTCATCCTTTTGCTATGCAGAAGCATTGTAGTTTTATTAAGTCCTATTTGTCTTTTTTGTTTTAGTTGCCTGTGCTTCTGAAGTCTTGGTCATGAATTCTTTGCTGGTGTGTGAATGTTTTCCCTAGGTTTTCTTCTAGTATTTTTATAGTTTCAGGTACTACATTCAAGCCAAGTCTTTAATAATTCATCTTGAGTTGATTTTTGTGCATGCTGAGAGGTAAGGGTCAAGTTGTTTCAATCTTTTGCATATGGCAATCCAATTTCCTCTGCACTTTTTTCTGAAAAAGTGTTATTTCCTCAATGTATGTTCTTGTCAGCTTTGTCAAAGATCTGGTCTTTCTGTGTCTTTAATACTGGGTGATTTTTTTCCATGGACCTGTCTGTCTATTTTCATACCAATATCTTGCTGCTTTAGTTACTATTTCCTTGTATAATAATTTGAAATCAAGTAAATTGA